ATCGATGTCTTTGCGGTTGAAGTAATTGACATATCTTTGGTCGAACTCGTCCTCCGATTCTTTGCGGCCGTGTTTGGGAACCGCGAGACCCGGGTTTGCGTCCACACCTCCAGAGCTCAGACGACTCGCTGTCCATCACATCAAACAAGATATTAATTCATTGACAATACTTTACACAACATTTCATTCAATAATAATTGAAAACAATTATTAAAAGACAACAAAAGCTGTGAAATCGATATAACAGTCAATTCTAGACAAAAGTGATTGAAAAACAGACCCATTATTGGTTTCATTGATCGCATTCTCAATGCATTTCCCGTCAAACGACTCACTGATAGAAAGCGTCCAAACATTTCGCGACAAAAATTACTGTTTATTTAATTATATAATTAAATGTAAATATAATTGACGACAAAATGATGTGATTTATTGACAAATCCTTTAATTCTCATTGAAATCAATGCACAAATGGAGGCCTCATATCATTCACATCAACACATATGCCGTCCATTCAATACGACAGACATTAGAAATGCATTTCAATTGCATTTTCGTTGCATTTTTAGTTATTAATTGTCATTTCATTTGTTATCACTTCTTCTTAATTGATATCTAATTTAATTACATTATAATTAACTGAATTAATGAAACCAAATATATGTTAATTCATATCAAATTAAGACAACAATTATAACCAAAACTCTCATAATTTAGACGTAAGTTGTGTTCAGAAAACACTTGAATTTTGTTGACTTTTGTAGAGTTAGTGTAGAAAAGCATAAGTGCTTTGAAGAGCACATGTTTTCAATGATTGGATCGCTTTTTAAATTATTATTTATTGTTTTTGACGACAATTAACACAATTATAGCGAACGATGGATAAGGCGTTGGTTAACAATCAGGTATTGAATGGTTTAGTGAAACAATGGTTGCAATAATTACTTGAATTAATAGATAGTTTTGATGCGAAAAGTGGTGCGAAAAGCGAAATGTTTTGTTTACCAAAAACTTGTCAAACAATTGAGAAAATTGAAGACAACTTCCAACAAATCGGACGAATTGTCCGCAAAATATGCACAAAAGATACTCAACAAAGAGAAACATATGATTGCTTTGAAAGGCGTTAATGTGGACGAAGTGTCCAAACAGGCGCTCATTCACGACAAGACATACTTTGACGATATCATCAAAAGTGTATGCATTTTAAATGACATCCTTTTCATACCATTGATTGTTATTTAATCTATATTTCAGAGTAAGAGTTGTCTTGAATTGAAATGTTTGGCCAAAATCGCGGTCAACGAAGACGTCTGGAAAGCCGTCAATAAGTTTAAGGAAGAGAACCCCAATTGTGACCAATGGTTGCCCTCACAGATAGAGCTCTGGCACCAGAAGAATGCCATCAAAAGAAATACAATTCTCAAAAAGAAAGGGTTGAAAAGCGAAGACAATGTCGACACAAATGAAGCGGAAGTTCCAGAGAAGATAAATAATGAATCGGATCTCAAGAAAATTGATGTCAAACAGAAGAAAAAGTCGGATTTAAATCAGAATAATATTAAATCTAAACCTAAGGAACCGATTATTAAGAAGAAAGAGATTAAGAAAAAAGAAGCGATTCGTGAAACGGAAGAGAAAGTGGAGCCGAAAAAAGTGAAATTTGATCCATTCTTCATCACCGATGGAATGGATGACAACGAAGAACAGTCTGACGATAGTATTGTTAGAAATGATAGGCAAATGAATGCGTATTCGCAAAACAGAAGAACGAGAAGACAGCAACAGTTTAATCAACAAAACTTCTCACAACGAATTGAAAAGAATGGTTCCAGAAATGACTTCAAACCAAATAATAAGACGAAGACTTTTGGAAATAGTAATAATAGGGACCAAAGATCGAAAGGCATATTTATATTCATAATTTATAAGTAATTTATGAGTGAAATAACTGTTGATAATTGTATTTCTAGGTGTGGCCAAAACGAGTGGTAATACCGGCGATAATGAGAGTTCGGGCGAATCACTGCACCCCTCGTGGGCCGCAAGACGTTCGGCAAAAGACAAGTTTAAGATTAATTTAAATGACAAACCAATGGCTAAAAAGATAAAATTCACTGAAAACTAATTATTTATTAGAAATATTAATAATTTTCTCAAATAAATGCTAAGATTTTACAACAAAAAAACAACACAAAAATATTTAATCGTTTTGAAAACCAGATACTGTTTTCTTAAGACAATATTTGGTTAATCTTAAAAGTGAATAATGAATAGAGTATTGGAGAACAAGCGCTCCGAAGCCTTTGAAGAGACCGAGTCTTCCCTCGTCTTTAACAATAGTTGATAAGCAATCGCCAGAAGACTCATAACTGGATATAATAGGAGTGACAGCACTCGCATTCTCGATGTTATCGATGATAGTTCGGGTGCCCTGAAGGTACAGCCTATTGGCAAACAATCAAGTGTTATATCCATATAATGTTACAATCGTTTCATTGAATACCTCATCAAAATGGTTTGCAGTGGGAATAGCATGACGTCCGCCGCTAATTGTGCCCAAAAACTACTCATTACTTCTTTGTATTTATCATTCAATAACTTATTATTATTATCGCTTTTGCTATCCTTATCGGTCTTCACATAAAGCGCTGCCCTTTGAACACAACTGGCGATCAAATAGTGACTTAAATGGTAGCTAAGAGTTGGTCCCCATAACAGCCAAATCGGGAGCTTTCGATCGATATTCCAGTGAGTGATTCGCCGAAAGCCCTCCCAAACCGAGTCGAAAAGCCCGGGGTTTTCGGTGGCGATCGCACTCTGAACTGTTTCCGCACAACTCGAGCACAGGAATGGTGTCACCAATACTATCGCCAATCCCTTGAGGATCAGGTGATGAAAGCCCGTCTCAACACTCATTCTCTTGTCACTCATATCTCTGAGAAGGGAACCAAAGAATTGAACATTTGGTCCAACATTTGAGACCAGTTTGAAGAGAGAAATACCTGACAAATGGAGTCAATTCAGTGATTATGGACTCAAAGCCTATTTGAATGGCTTTCGTGAGGAAAACACTTGCGATTCCTTTCCAAAGAACTCCAAAGCCTTGTTTGGATTGAATGCCGACAACGAATCCAATGACAGTGAATGGCGTCAAGTGGTATACTTTGCTCCGGAGGCTCACCTGAAACAACAATAACATGACATCCAATACGACAACAATTATTGCTAACAATATATTTACTTGAGTTTGTCGTCGAATCACAAGAAACGGATGCATTAAGAGGTGATGAGTGACAACATTCACCGAATCCAAGACAACGACCGCTATCTTCATCTCGCGATCCGATATATCACTCATTGGCAAGACTTGAGGTATGGATCTGTTGGGAGGCGTAAAGTCGGGAGCGGAAGAAGAAGTGGTGGGCTTTTGGGTGACAGTGAAATCAACTCTTCGCCGCTGAGTGTGGCTTAAGTTGTGATCACTTGTGGAACTCATGCGATATAAGTCGATGTCTTGTCCTTCAAACACATCTCTCGGGTATATATTATCAGACATTTCACACCAAAAACATATTAAATGTCTTCAGAAATCAATTCAATTATTAATTCAATGTTTTTTCAATGCATTTCATAATAAGTTTAATTCTAAACAAATGTTAAGTTTCTTTCGAGTCATTCGTAGAAAATACTCATAAAAACAGCTGAAATGAGTCAACAAAATAATGTTAACAATTGTACGCAATGTAAACCAAGATGTGATTCAATCGCCCCCTCTCTCCCCCTCTGCGCCTCCTTTTGTATACAATTAATGTAATTATAATTGAAATATAGTTTACAAATGAAGTGATCATTCATTGCAATCATTGCTATGAATTGCCAATGATTTAGAAATAATGGTTAAAATGTTATAAAAATATTCAATGTTTGCGATGAAGACATCAATGATGTGTTGAATGGGCTGTGAATCACGTGATGTACTGAAGGCTCGTCACACATACGTCTGGTAGCGACCGTCATGAGCGTTAATTCAAATACTACCGAACGCATTTATACATAAGCTGTATTATACAATGCACATAAAAAGCATATAGGTTTTGGTCCCTTTTATGACATGCAAATGATAAATACAAGCGAGATATAGCATGTCATAAAAGGGACCAAAACCTATATGCTTGTTATGTGCATTGTATAATACAGCTTATGTATAAATGCGTTCGGTAGTATTTGAATTAACGCTCATGACGGTCGCTACCAGACGTATGTCGTCACAGATATGGATGAAAGCGACGTGTCTTCGAGCGATGGATTAGATCTCGTGGTCAATGAGATCAACGACGTCTCCCATAAGGATAGTATCACTTTTGAGAGTATGTCTGCCATTGAATGGTTGCGAGCCTTATGTGGTGTTTAACGATGTGTTTGTTTGATCACTAGTTCTTCATGTGGTGAAAGAGGGTCAGAGCCAACACGGCCTCAAACATGGAGACTATCACCGGTACAGACAGTACTGCTCGCGACGTCTTCGGCGGATCAGACGGTCGTTGAATTACGTGCAGAGTTCCGGTAAGACTCGGCCCACATATCAGCAGAAAGTGGTGACCAATCAGTTGGTGAATGAGGCGACGAAGAGCAAGAAGGACCCGATCAGGTATCTGATGATACCGTTGTTTTGCGCTGAGAGGAGTTGGTCGCACGCCATGCAACTCAAACAGGAGGCCAACACAGAGCCGCGCAAGAAGTTTCATCTGATCCGCAAATACAAGAAGGCGGTGAAATACGCGCAGTCTTTGCAGACCATTTGCAACTCGAGTCCAACCAAATGTGACGCCAGGACTCGACTCGAGTCCACGGCTTACGCCTCATACCTGACCGGACTCTTCCACTTCGAGACCGAACAATGGCTTAAAGCCAATGAATACCTCAAGAAATCACAGACTATTTACGAGAAACTCTTTCACGCGATTGCCGACGAAGAAGTGGCCGTTCATTACAGACAACGATGCGATGAAATCAAACCCACTCTTAGGTACTGTGCGTTCAATATTGGCGACCAAAACATTGAGACTCAGGATTTGACTAAAATGCAAACCGAAGCCAATGAAGTGGACGACCAGTTATTGGCCAATAAGTTAGATGTAAATATTCTTGACATGTCTTTCAAATCAAAAGCAATGATTTAATTGAAAATTATTTGTTTAGCAATTGATTCTTCAAACTCGAGAGAAACAATCGGCGACTTTGAGTGAAATCCAATGGTTGGGCAAAACGATTGCCGTTAAACAGGAGAAGATTCGGTCTTTCCTTCTGTTAATGCAAGACTTGACACCGACTTCGATGACAAGAGTGTCTCAATTCGAGAAACTGATATTCGAGTGCAGAGATTGTGTTCAACTCCTAAGAGAGACCAATCAGGAGAAGACACTGTTATATAATTATTTGTCTTATTTAAGACTAGATCTAACAGTTGGACGTAATTTACAATTAATTAAAACCCTTAAGAGTTCTTCAGATATGATCCGTCCGTTTGAAACAATAATAGGAAGCCTATCGGAGATAAAGTCTTTGCCTTTAGATCAATATTACTCTTCAAGTGATTCTGTGGATGAATTTAATCAACAAATTGAGTCTAAAGTGACTGCTTTTAAGGCCTTCCGGTGCTATCATATCGGAAATGTTAACAAAAATAGTTGGAAAGAGTCGGTCGCACTCCTGCACCGATCGGCACAGTATTGCGAAACTGCACTCAAAGACAAGAACACACCGAAAGTATATTTCACATAATATTTGTTATAATTTATTCTCTATTTTTAATTATAAATTGTAACATAATTAAGGAAATGGTATCTGAATTGACGCAATTGAAGGCCAAAGCGGAGTCCGAAAAGTTTACAATTTATGCCAACAATCTAATGAAAGAAGATGTGTCTCAAACCAAAGTTAACACAAACAACATTCCCGTAAATTTACATTAATTGTGTGTTTTTATATAATTCTCACTCTATTTGTTTGAACATATAATTAGCCGTTAATCTCACGTTTGGACACATACTATGAAGACACGGAATTAGTGGCCGGTTCCTCGACGTTGGCCCCATTCCCGCCTCAATTCCAAGCGATTCCATGCAAACCATTATTTTTTGATTTGGCTCTCAATCACATCGCTTTCCCATCATTAGAGGCAGAAAAGGCTAATCCAAAGAATTCTGGAATTACGGGATTCGTGAAGGGATGGCTCGGAGGATGGCGTAAATGATGTCTTTTGACAACATTTTATATGGAATTTATTGATTTACTCGTTGACCACATTTTGTCAATAATTACTTATTAATTAATTGCAGAATGTATTGAATTCAACATCAAATAAATGATTTTTATAAACATTTCGGAACATTAGAAACAATTCGGAAACAATAAAATCTAGTTTAATATAACGATGACTTTTAGACCCATTCCTTAGGGTTTCTGAGCACTTGAATGAGTTGGTCTTCTTTAGTACCGGCTTCTGGTGAGTGACTGTATTGCCATTTGGCCACTAATGGCAATGACATGAGAATACTCTCGTATCGGGCGCCGGGCGTGAAGAGACCAAACTTAGTGCCCCTGTCGTAGATCAGGTTGAACTCAACGTACCTGAAGAACCATTTTATTGCCATTTGGCCACTAATGGCAATGACATGAGAATACTCTCGTATCGGGCGCCGGGCGTGAAGAGACCAAACTTAGTGCCCCTGTCGTAGATCAGGTTGAACTCAACGTACCTGAAGAACCATTTAAACCAATTAAAATGTTACTCATTTACAAGAACGGTGTCATACCTTCCGCGCCGTAAGAGTTGCCACTGTCTGTCCGCATATGAATAGCCTTTATTCACATTCCTCTCGACAACCGGTATATAACAAGGTATTATAGAATCGGCGCACGATTTGACGAAATTAAAGGCCTCTTTTTGGTTCGGATAATCCATATCATCAAAGAATAGACCACCGATTCCTCTAGTTATACAAAAGCAGTTATTAGACATTATGTATTGAATCAAATGCTGACAACCAATACCGGCTTTCTTGGCGATGGTTTATATAGAAGTACTGATCGCACCATTTCTTAAACTTGCTGTAATATTGATTATTATGTAGATCGCAAGCATTCTTCAGCGTCTTATGGAAATGAATGCAATCGTTTTCGTGCAATATATAGGGTGTCATATCAGTGCCGCCGCCAAACCACCAGTGCTTCTCATCGTTGATCACGTCTTGCACTTC